CCCCAAAACCCCAAAACCCCAAAACCCCAAAACCCCTCAAAGAGAAAGCTCTGTTGAAAATAAATTAAGAGTTCTCTTTCTCCAGGTCAGTGAGGATCTGCTTCAGGACTTTCATGGAGAGCTCATAATTCGGGAAGAACTTCTTGTTCGCCATACTAAATTTACCTAGAGATTAACAATGGAGTTACTGAAGAATTCATTGATCTTTTTGTCACTACAAATTTCTTTCTCTATAGGGATTTATATAAGAAAATACCTATGATATGGTTTAATCCTACAGAGCTGAAGATCTTGTACTTTTCTGGTCGTCCACCTTTGAGTGCTTTCTTGAATTTTATAATTGGGATGCCCCTATAGTTTTCATAAATTTTGCTACATTTCTTCCTCTACTTCAAATTTCTCATCCATCGAGCTGACTACATCTGAGTTGGCTCTATTGTTATTTTTCATCATATCTAAATGTTCGAGAATAAGACTGGGCAAGGTTTTTAAAAATTAAATAGGAGATCAAGGAAAAAAGGTATTAAATCTTACTTTTGCAGCCCTCTTTAACAATATTGAACATCTCCCTTTCTTCCATGGTCAGGTCTTGGTCTCCTCCTGTGGGTAGAGCTTCTGTGCCCTTCATCTCTTCTAACTCGAAGACAGTGTCAGTGTCTGACTTTGGTGGTTTCATTTGAACTTTCTTCTTTTTATCAAAGACTTTCTTCTTAGCTTGAATTTGCTTCTCATAGTACTTTCATACTTTCTTATTATTTTTGCATTCACGCTTGTCTAAATTTACATTAATTACAAGCCATTGAGCTACCAAGAATCACAAATAGAGATTTTGGAAGCTAAAGGAAGAGAAATTGTTATTTAGATAGTCACTAATGTATCTCAAATCTACTTTCTGCTTCCTAATGCATCTCCTAAGCCCCTAATTACCAATTGTCTTAATCCTTCTATTCATATGCTCCAAAGTTTTGAGATGTTCTTCCTCCAAGTAAGTATTAGCATTTTTATTCTTTCTAATTCTTTTAGCTAGCTTCGAATCCTTATTCTGAGTGGACACTAGAGATAAAGCGGCTGATTACTCGTAGGCTTGACTCCTTTCTGGAGAGAATTAAACAAACGGTTCTGTTCACCAAAGAACTGGTCTATCTTGGCATCTCTGTGCTTCCTTGCAAAGCTAGTATTGGGTTTCTTATACTTCTTCTCCTCCATCTTCTTCTTCTTATTTAGCTAAACTGTGACTATGGAGACATACCTGCAGGTACATATTCTGTATTGATGTTATTAACCATGGGTTTCATGTTGTATAGGTTTGAGTAGTGGTTAACCATTTTCCTCTTAATGAGGTCTCTCTTCCCCATATTGTTTTCTTCGGGAACTCCTACAGGCATTTAAATTTCAATTTTTATAAATTTCTGAGGGGTTTTGGGGTTTTGGGGTTTTGGGG